AAGAATCAAGTAAAACAAACAAACAAACATTTCTGACAGATTTGCTTTTTTTTTCAGCGGAATTCCCTACTGATATTTTGAAACCGCGACAGTCTGCGGATTCCCCATCTGACCCATCATGATGTTGATGTTTTGAGTAATTGGGCGTCACTCCACTACAGTAACTCTCAAAATGTGCAAAACGAGAGTGAATCTTCTGCTAGAACATGGAAAGATACACCACCATGATTTTTGTCTTTTGTGCACTTCGAGTGTAGTGGGAGCGAGGCCCATTATCTCCTTTAATCCCTGTTGTGAGTGCACAAGGCAGCATCAACAAATAAGCAGTGACTGAGGCGGAACACCGCCTACTGACAGTCTGACACCACACCGCCTACTGACAGTCTGACACCACACCACCTACTGACAGTCATGAAAGTGGAAGTGTTGAAAGTGAAAGTGTTGAACCACCATTGGAGTCAGGAAGTCGCTTCTGCGAACAGGGAACACACAGACATGATTAAGACTCACGAACAGCGCCAAACACAACAACTCCCCTGAACAAGTTGCAGGCATTCCAAGCATAAAGGCACACTGACTATTTGGCACATCTTGAAGGTTAGAGCAGACCAAAAATACTTGGGAATCAGAAGAAGGAAAGAAGTTATAAACTTATAAACACATATGATTTTGTATGTGTGGTGTGTGTGTTGTCATATTCCCTATACCCTCAAAAAAAGCATGACTGTGCCAGACTGTTTCGTCGGACTTTCACCGACTCATCAGGAGGTTGAATGTGTGCCTTTTAAAAAAGGATTCAAAGTTCCAACTCTCTTTCTCATTCCATGCACGTTTGTGTGTGTGTGTGTGTGTGTGTGTGTGTGTGTGTGTGTGTGTGTGTGTGTGTGTGTGTGTGTTGATTTTCCCCACAACAGTCCCAATTCCACACAGATGAATAAATATTAGATTCAGAATCAAAGCACGCTTTGTCCTATTGCAGACAACGAGAGCATTTGAGATGTCCAACATATTAACGCAATTTTAGAATTAAACAGTTTTTCGGTCGTCCTCGGGGTACCCCTTTCATTGTTCTTGCAGCTCCCCTTTTACTGTGCCTCTTACGCACAAGGCTGCCCACGTTGATTGTGTGTGTGTGTGTGTGTGTGTCTTCATACTCTGCACTCCACAGAGAGAAAGCGCCAGACTGTTTCGTAAGACATTCACTGTGGACAGATGAGTAATAGTACGCCGTACTGTACAGGGCATCTGCGCGCTGGTGCCCCCCAAAGTAATCAATGCCACCCGAGAGCGATCTGTGGTTTCCTGTGCTTTTTTTTTTTTTACTTCTGGACATCCTCAGACGTTCTCTCAGTAAATATTCTGAATGGGACCTGTTTTCCAGCACATGCTGTGCCCGACGAAAAGACTGGCCTTTCAATTTGGGGAAGGGGGGGGGAAACAAGTCCTTCGTGGCATCCGTTTAAATTGGAACGATACAGAGAAAGAGAAAATTAGCTTAGCATGGCCCC